ATTGATGAAACCTAAATACCAAATATAGGCGAATCTTTAAGAAAGTGAATACGAACAAAAATAAATTATATACAAAAAGACTATGAAGTCGTTCATCTCCCCACTTATTGGAATTCAATGCAATCAATGTGTCCGATAACAAATTTCTATTTGATGTTGAAGAGATAAGGCCATCCATCAAAGTAAGTTGTAATAAATCCTCAACATTATCCGTATTTTCTTCTAAGCAAATTACAACAAGGACAACTAGTAACTTTAATGACTACAAACAAGAAACAACAATTTGAAATACAAATTAGAACTAAACGTACATATCATTGCAAGATTAAAAAGAAAAAGAATAGAACTAGGAATGCAAATTCAGAACATACTGCTAATCGAGCCATTTTGGTGATTGTTTTTATATCTTCTTTTCCTATCCAAAGTCTTGGCATTGAATCAGAATCATAACTAAACACTATTTCAAACCTGTAAACATATTGCATAAAATTAAATAAATTTAATAAATGAGATCTTTCACACATAAGACTTCAAGAAAACAATCATCACCTGTCCTTCATATTTATCAAGACCTTCTCAGCTTCTTCCCTTTCCTTTGATTCAACAATCTTTATGGCATGTCTTTTTAATTTTGCAACAAATGTTTCGATAGTTGTCTGATCAGTACCAAATGAAGAAATGGTTGAAGTAAAACCAACTAAAGTGGTCATTCTCTCCAGCTGAAGAATTTTTCTAATTGTTGGCCACGTTTAATCATTAGCATCTTTTAAAAGGGATTGTGCAGGATCAGAAAGGGTTTTGTCAAGTTTTTCCTGTATGATAAATATAATAAAGTAATAAACATATTTTTTCTATGCAGCCCTGTGACGACCCCAGATATCAATAGTGAAAGGATTTGTCGACAGTCTTGATCAATCTTCATTCCAGTTGCCTTGCTCGGACCTGAAAATTTTCAACCACATATAATGAGCTTTACAAAGCCCAGCAAATCACCAAAGCCTACAACTGAAAT